GGGGGGGGTAGCTCAGAATGTTAGATAAGAGAATAATTTTATTAAAATATGAAAAAAATTAGTAGTAATATGACAGTTTTATAGACATTATTCAGTAAAAAGTTTTTAAAAAAAATATATTAACATTCAAACATTCAATTTGAGAAATATTAACATGATTATGATACAAAAATAAACACAGTGTCATGTGCCAAACTGGCTTCTTTGGTTTGCTACAATCATATTATTTTGTGACATAAAAAGTCTTGAAAGCATCACACAATCCAATACTATAATTTAAGATGTCACATGATCCAATAATCCAAATAATAAGATGTCACAAGCTTAGATGATGTATCCTCATTTAAAACTACACACTGAAGCAGATTAAAATTATTTCAGGAAATCGAACACTACTGTATTGATTAAAGATGCAGCCCCCCCCCCTTTGAACTTGACCAAAAATGCCCTCCCTCAATATATAGAAAAAAAAATACTGATTTGGATGGACTGGATCTACTCCTCCCCTATGCTAGTGGATTTATATACATAAATTTGTCATACCTTGCTCTACAAGAGTAACATACTAATAGTGCCCCCAACACAAATGTAAGGTATTTTCTTGTGAATATGCTCCTCTAATTTTTAGAGAAATTTGTAGAACAGCTATGGAAATGAGGAGGAAGAGGTAGACTTATTAAAAAGTAAAAAAAAAAAAAACAGCATTTTAATTGAAGGATTTCACAAAATTTCTTTCTCTGTGAAAGTTCATAGAAAAATACCCTTACAGCTCCACTACCTCATAAGAGCCACCCCCCCTCCCCCTGCAAATGCCCATTTAAAATATAAAACGCATTTTCTCGATGAACACAAATCGTAATGAACACAAATCGTAATGAACACAAATCGTCATAAACACAAATTGTCATGACGTAACAGTGGCCACTGAGACATGTAAAGTTTCTCTGCTGCCGTTCATTGTTTCTAAAAAGCTAGACAGTTGTGCGCAGATGTAGACTTTAAATATCATTGATTATATGATATCGTCATAATTGTAGCTCTCTTACTTTTTACATTCATGAACAGTTCCTACTTTGTAAGAACTTTAAAAGATATATTATTGGGTACATTTGTAGACCTGGACAATCAGGACACACCAGTGACTCGTCTATTTTTTTTTCATTTGATACATTTCAAAACACATTGCATGGCTACTCATCAAATAAAATAAAATTATTGAATTCAAAAATTTGTGCACGACTCACGACGGCCAATGACAGTGCGTCTTTCCACTAAACTATTGGTTATGTTCTTGTTTGGCTCGTCAAGGTGTGCTTACTTCCAATATTCATTTAGTCCTCGGTGCTTCATTGCCTCATTTCAAAATACCTTTTCTCATTGGGGCACATTGACACCTATTTTTAAAAAAATGTGTCCTTATATAAATCCATACCTAAGATATTATTGACTGTTTTGTCTACATACCTAAGATATTATTGACTGTTTTGTCTACATACCTAAGATATTATTGACTGTTTTGTCTACATACCTAAGATATTATTGACTGTTTTGTCTACATACCTAAGATATTATTGACTGTTTTGTCTACATACCTAAGATATTATTGACTGTTTTGTCTACATACCTAAGATATTATTGACTGTTTTGTCTACATACCTAAGCTATTATTGACTGTTTTGTCTACATACCTAAGCTATTATTGACTGTTTTGTCTACATACCTAAGATATTATTGACTGTTTTGTCTACATACCTAAGCTATTATTGACTGTTTTGTCTACACACCTAAGCTATTATTGACTGTTTTGTCTACATACCTAAGATATTATTGACTGTTTTGTCTACATACCTAAGATATTATTGACTGTTTTGTCTACATACCTAAGATATTATTGACTGTTTTGTCTACAGACCTAAGCTATTATTGACTGTTTTGTCTACATACCTAAGATATTATTGACTGTTTTGTCTACATACCTAAGATATTATTGACTGTTTTGTCTACATACCTAAGATATTATTGACTGTTTTGTCTACATACCTAAGATATTATTGACTGTTTTGTCTACATACCTAAGCTATTATTGACTGTTTTGTCTACATTAAAAAAAAGAGAAATACTTTTCTGAAATGTATATGTTGAAAGTTATTTAATCCTTTGGATCAAAACCAAATTTTCATGAAATGATTCCCGAATAAGTGTGCAGTGTGTCTAAACATAATCATCAACATTTACGTGTGAAATTATTTTTTTTTAAAAACTAACGGGTTGAATTGACGTGACGTCAAATGCTATAACCGTCTCAGTTTATATCTGCTTCCTCACCAGGCGCTAAGAAATTATATTACATGATTATATTATTGTCAATCCATAATTAATTCTACTTTTTAGATATGATCAAGAGTAGCACATTTGAGACAAAATCATTTTTAGATCTTTTGATGTGAAGAACAATGGACAATTTTGTTCTTTCCGCGGAACAAGCTCTCCATGAAATTCAAATTGAAACCACAATCCCACCACGACCAAGCGTTCTCTGTTTTGGTATCGTTTAAATAATCTTTATAGAAATCTTAACCAAGCATTACACCGATGTTCAGGAAAGCTAAAACATAACAGCGACAATGCAGTGCACTTGTTTTATTTATGTGCCCCGGGTAAATACATGCACTTTGTTATAGCTGTCAGCAACTAACCCGTGTCAGTTGTTTGTGGTTGTCTGTTCCCCACCCCACCCACGTGCCTATACCCCGTTTCGTTGTCATTGCCGCGTGTACGGCTGAAAATATCAAAGCTCTTTCCTCGTGTGTCTCAGTGTATTGTATCTCAGTTATATCGAGTCATGATTTTTTTTTTTAATGCTGAAAGTCAAATCGTGTTAATTTTGTTTTTCTTCGCCTTTCTGATTTTAAAAAGTTAGCTATAAAAAAATGCAGCGCCCCCAACCCTCCCTTTTTAGGAAATCCTACCGCTACCCTAATCCAACGGACCATTTTACCGCCCCTGAGCAGTGCTCTTTGAGAACCCCTGTGCTGGACGGCCTTCTCTTCTCAGCAAAGTTCAATGTTGTGTTGTTACAGTCTGGCTGGTCTGCACTAGAGGTTGCAATCCGGGATCCCGAAATTCGAAAATACCGGACCATAATTGATGTTCGAAGAAACCGAGATTGGATTTATGAAAACCGGGATTTTTGATAATCCTGGGATTTCATTTAAAAAAAATTTAAAATCGTTTTTCTTATTTTCCACGTCGTAGTTAAAGCAATACATATCAATAATTTATGAGATGTGCAAATCCCTCACACCACGTGTCTCAAGTTCAAAGAGAAGGTACATGATTGGTAAGTAAATGTCTTCATATTGTTGACAAATAAGTGATTGGTGTAGTCCAATGAAGATCGAATTTTGACTTCCATTAAGAGTTTATATGGAAATGATAACACGTTGCACTCAACTTTTAAAAACAAAAATGTTTGATTGCTTGATTTCTTTGAATTATGCCAAAAAACCTACACATTTAAAAATATGAGTAAATCCTTACTTTGATCATCAAATACCTTAAGTTTAAGACACACAAAAATTGTGTTACTTCTATTTTGTGATAACAATATTAATAATTTACATTCGTCTCGTAATTGATTTTTGAGCTATTTTGTCTCAGGCTGAATGTCCCAGTTAGTCTGAACCGTAACTGGCCAAACATTAAAACATGTTTAAAAAAGTTGTACACTGCAAACCTATTCGATTATTTTCACTTCAGGTTGATAGAAAGAATTGGGGGACCCTGAAAAAAATTAAACCTAAATTTGATAAGCATATGCAACTATCGGAAACAAAGAGGCTACATCAGTTTGGCAATATTTCTTGAAAGCTACAGTCAATCTCTCAGCTAAATGTATTAGATGTAACAAGATAACTTAATACAATGGGAGGTACAACTTGAGGCCTTCACTCTCATTTAAAGTCTGCACATTCCAGTGACTACTTGGACGCATTTATAAGGCCAGATTGCGACCAGATGCGAAAACATACCGTGGATATTTAAAAAGCTTGGTCAGACAGCGGATTCCTCGTTGGAAATATCTACGAACAATGAAATTAAACATCTTGGATCTGAGCATGATGAACTTGAAAACACACTGCCACTTAAGAGACAATTTGCAATTGAAATACAAAAGAAACTTCAGGCTCTGGATAATACTTCCAGACCAATGGATGGAGACATTAATACATTGGTAAAAATAGAAATGGCTTTATTAGAGAATGGCAGTTCAAAAGGAAACTATCTAGAAATTGCTTATGATAGTCGAAGGTCTATTCTCCGACCAGTGTGAAGGCAGAGCGGGTGTTCTCTTCATCAGGTTACTTTTGTAACCATTGGCGGTCAAAGTTAAGTGGCCAAACATTATACACTTTGTCATATTTACGATTTCATTATTTAAATTTGACCAAAGATTAAAACAACACGAATTATTTTAATTTTTGATTAATAAAACTATTTAAATTAAAAAGTTAAGAATATTATGTTTGTTTGTTTGATTAAAGTCTGAATTTAAACATTTGTGTTACTGTTAAAAGCTTATTAAAAATCAAAGTATGATATTTTTTCTGAATGTTTTTCTTTCATTGATAAATCCAGGGCCGGCGCTGGGGGTGGGGTGGCGAAGTGGGCCACGCGTTGCCGTAGTATATTTATGATATACCTAAGCCTACTAATAGTTCCTAATCAAGTCAACACTATATTCGGAATTATTCGATAGTCAAATGTATATAACGTGTCTTAATATACTAGCGGCGGAATTTAGGCCTATCACGTCAACGGCCCCGCAAATACAATTTGCCCAAGACCCGCACCCTCCTAGCGCCGGCC